TAAGCACAACACACCGACCATGACCTCAAAACACGCCAGTATATAATAGAAAAAATAACGCCTAAAATAACAAACATAACGGGAATAACAAAAAAATTATAATAAAAGCAACAATAATAATGACCAAAACAAAGAGAATTTAATAAAAGGAAAAATAAATAAATAAAAATTACCTGTGAAAAATACAAACAACATTTACAAACAACAACACGACTACGATACATGCTAAAAAAATATCAATAAAAAGAAAGAAAATTGAAAAAAAAAAATAAATCGAAATAAAAACAGAACAAGGACAATAAAAACACCTGTCCCCTGAACACATAAAAAAACACAATGTAAATAAAACACATGTAACACGAGTCATGGTAAAAAAACAAAAAAAAACATAAGAAAACGTAAACACATTCACCCCAAAAAGAAAAATCTAAAAAAAAAAAACATCAGGACAAAAGGTGGAAAGAACGATCCCAACATCTGTAGACGACACGAGGTTCTTAACTATTTATATATCACATCAGATGGTCCCCAAATTCACCACACCTCACCACACCACACCACACCACACCACGCCACACTATACCATACCACACTATACCATACCACACCACACAACACAACACACCACACCATACCACACAACACAACACACCACACCACACAACACACCACACCACACCACACAACACCACACCACACAACACAACACACCACACCACACAACACTACGCCACATTCCCAAACTCATTTTAGTACTAACCTTGTTGTTTCATTTGAACCTAACTCTCCACCCTAGCACATCCTAACCCAGCCCATCATCTGGCCCACCCTAGCTCATCCTGACCCACCACCTTGACCCACCCTAGCACATCCTAACCCACCATCTGGCCCACCCAAACACATCCAAACCCATCATCTGGTCCACCCTAGCACATCCTGACCCATCATCTGGCCCACCCAAACACATCCTAACCCATCATCTGGCCCACCCTAGCACATCCTAATCCACTACCTTGGCCCACCCCATCTTATTCTGACCCAACCTGCACCTGAGCCACTTATTTTAGGTCCTAACCTGATTTAAAGTAATGTGACCTGACCAATTTTATCCATTCTCTCAAAAACAACCTCACTAACTTTCTCACTTTTCCCGAATTGTTACCATCACATTCTTTCTAACTTCAAATTCTTTCTTTCTGTTCTCAAGCTTCTGTATTGTCTGTCTGTCTGTCTTTTTTCTCTCCCTCCCTCTATCACCTTTCTCACTGTTTCCCTCTTACCTCTCCTCCTTACTCTTCTTTCTCACTATCTCTTTAATCACTTGTTTTCTCTACCCTCTCTTCTAACCCATTCACTTTCTTAACGTGAGAGCGAGGAGGGTTAATTGCTGCTTCCAACACCCCTTCCTGGCTCCCCTGTCTTCTGGCTAATGAAACCATTATACAGTATCATTAGCACCCCCCTCCCTCCTCTTTCCCTTCTCCTCCTCCTCCCTCCTCCTCCCCCACCCCTCCCTCCTCCTCATTAATTCTCCTTCCTCCCTCCTACTCCTCTTTTCCTCCTTTCCTCCTCCCTCCTCCTCATCCTCCTGATACAGGCTCTGCCCCTCCGGGGTCTTAATGCTTCCAGCAATGTTTACTGGGGGCTGTTTGTTTACACACAATGGGGAACTGATATACATTTTTTTGGGGGGGGGGGTGGGGAGCCTTTGTGATTGGAGAATGGGAAAATGAGAGGGAAGGTGAAACTGGAGAAAGAGAGAGACAGAGAGAGATGATAGAATAATAGATGAGAGAAAGAAAGATAGAGAGGTGGGAAGAGAGAGAGAGAGAGAGAGAGAGAGAGAGAGAGAGAGAGAGAGAGAGAGAGAGAGAGAGAGAGAGAGAGAGAGAGAGAGAGAGAGAGAGAGAGAGAGAAACACTCCCTTTATCTTCAGGTATTGTTCTGCGCCACTACCTGGCATCCTTGTTCCTCTTATATACACAATCTAGGAATAATATGGCGTCCAAGAATACAATAACTGGTACAGGTGACTTTGACATTTATGAAAGCTATTTATGTTGGATATATAAAGCAAATATGACTGAATGATTTTATATAAAGGAATGACAACAATCTCTCGACCTGGAACCTAACGTAATGTGGCCTAACTAAACATAACTTAACCTAACTACCTAAACCTAATTTAACTAGTTCTAACTTATACTAACCTAACATAACCTAATCCAACCTAATTTAACTTAAATCTAACTTAGCCTTTTGTAAACTACCAAACACAACCTATTCTAACAAGAGTCATTTGTTTCTTTGACAGGATTTCACAGAGGGACACGACCTGGAGAAGGGAGTAACACGACAGATCTGTACCTGTAGACGGGGGTGACGGAGGCGTTCTTGTACCACAGCACCAGTAGTACGGGCTCCTCGGGGTTGGTAGAGTTTATCATACAAGGTAGTTTAGCAGTCGACCCTCTCACAGCCGTCACCGCCACTAGCGTACCTGAGGGAGAGACACTCATTAATTATAACGTCTTAAGATGACTGGGAAACACCTTCTTTACCACACCTGTTAAAATCCTTGAGAAATACACTATCGATAATGCTTGAGAAACACACTTCTAATTTTACTTATCAAGCTGAATGAGAGAGAAATGAGGTATTACAGAAATGCATGCCGGTGTTGTTATAATACACAGAAGGAAACATTAAAACATCTGTTGATTTAATTACAAATGTTAACAAAAATATCAACTCATTCATCCTTAATGGTTATATCTACAGAAAAGTATGTATTCGTGTTGGTCCTGAACAGCGCCGCCACCTTGAGGATACCACCGGTGCTGTTTACCCTGAAGAAGTCCAAACACCTTCTGAAGAATACACCATGATATCCTCGACTAGGAAGGTGGGGGAGGGAAGATGAGGATATTGGAAGAGGATATCTGGGTGTGTGGGTGGGTGATGTGGGTGGGGAGGTGATAGCTTTTTGTTCTTTGAATGGGGAGGTAAGTTAGTAAGTCTGGGTGTCTCTGTGAGTGAGATCATTAGGTAAAATTATCTCCGTGTCTCCAGTCCCCGTGCATGACTCTGCCCATCACCACACTGCTGCCTCCACCATCCTCTTTAACCGACCTAATAATAACCAATGATACTGAAATATTGGACGATCCTCATCATCAGCCAACAATATCCCTCCAGGTGTAAAAAAAAAGTAAATTAATATATATTTTTTTATAAGTAATCCAAGAAAGTCACATAAATAATATAACAGATACAGTACGAAGCCTCTATACTATATACAATAGTTTGAAAATTATCTATTAATTTTGCTAAACTAAAAATATTAATAAAAAATCTTACTTAAACAATAATAACTATACTCATTCTGAATATAATGTATTTATTGTTTCTTTATAGTGTTAGGAACAATTATAATAATATCAAATCAGATTGAAAGTGCAATCAACAAACGGTTATTAATTTATGGTCAAGAATTACCACCAAAACATAACTTTCCCAGGTCAATTATGTAATTATTTCCTGTACTGAGTCGTGCTGGTATTGTAACTTCCTGTATGTGGCATTACAAACTTCTCTTACCATTAATATTACTCGTGGGTTTAGCTATCCACTTTGAACTACCTACCAGTAGTCACGGCAGCAACAGATTTGTTTTTTCTATCTAATTTTGTTATTGTGCTGCGAGGAAACTTTACCATGTACATCTATATATATATTTATGCAAGTAAATCACCGTGGGTGCGCGTGATCCAGGTATATGCTGATAACCACAAGGTTATCAGCACACATATATACATACATATATATATATATATATATATATATATATATATATATATATATATATATATATATATATATATATATATATATATATATATATATATATATATATATATTCATGTAAATCCACAATGAAAACGGATAAGATAAATCTTGATAAAATCATTGAAAATGGAAACAACGGAGTACCTCGTTGTTTCCATATTTATATATATATATATATATATATATATATATATATATATATATATATATATATATATATATATATATATATATATATATATATATATATATATATATATATATATATATATATATATATATATATATATATAAAGACAAATTGCTTTATCTTTTTAAATATAATTTCTCAATCCTGCAGCCAAAAGCCAATATTCTGACATGCGACTTAGTCCCACGGGAGAAACTCTTGTTGTTCTGGATGCTGAAAAGGCAGACTGTGCGGAGTACCAGTCCCCCAGGGCCCAGGCAGAAAAAATTCCTATATTTTCATAATTTTCTATCTGGTGTATGAAAAAAATCTTTGAACTGCGAAATACAGGCACCCAAAACCTGATATACAGAAATGGTCTTAACAGTTCCTAAGAGTTCTTGCATATCCTCCAGGACAGAAAGGGAATTATGAAATGAAGAATTTTTCAACAATCATCTCAGATCTTATCTTGGTAGTCCCTGGCTGTGTCCCTGAGCAAGAAGAATCCTGAGATACAATCTTGAGTCTCAAGGTCTTGAAGGATGAATTATGTGCTCGGAAACATGTAATTGGAGAGTTCATTTATATCAAGTACCACGTTAAATGCAGAGTAGCGTCAAGTACACATCTCTAAAAGCACCTAAGTAGAGCTTTAGAGTCCCATCCACATTGGCAGAGTGTAATATCCCTGGAGATGCATTAGTCCTTATCAGAGAGAGCAGCACTGGCAATGTTGGCTGGTAGCGCAGCACAACACAGAGAGTTATACACCGGTAGAAAGGTCATTAAGGACAAGTAAAGAAAATTAAAGAAATTGTCGGAGAGAGAGTGTTACTTGGTTGTTGACGTCCTGAAGATGGCGAGGCCTTTGAAAATACAACTTAAATAAATACTTTTGGGTGTTCGTTGCATGATGTATTAGACTTTCTCTCGCATGCCGAGTACATACAATAAGTTTCTTGTTCAACAGGATAACCTAAAGATGCATAAATGTGGCTAACAAACTTAATGAATTAAGTCAACTATGTTATTAGATGTTACCTTTTATCAAATTCGGATTAAGAATGTGTTTATACGAAAGATAATTCAATCTATCAAACTTGACGTATCACTGAAAGCTTATAATGACAAGGAACCACGCAGAGTCACGGTGCATCAACGGAGCGAGATGATTCAGTGAAACCGCAATGAAATCTCAACACTTCACTCTTAAGAGCTTTAATAAGAGACTCAAAGACCCACTGTAGCTTCATTATTTAGAAATCGGAGGTACTTGGAAGGCTCTTACTGGATATAGTACCACGAGGCCGCTGGCTGCAGAAGGCAGTATAGATGCGTATTTTATTGGGCACGGGAGCTGCATTAGCTCTCACAGAGTCCCGGTGTGGCGCGATTCCCAGAAGTCGGCGTTCCTAATGAGGTTCTTCTTAAAGGGAAAGCCACAAAGATGACGGCCACAGGAGGTCATTTACTGGTGTAGAGACGCTAGTAATGGCTACCGTGTTTTCTTGTAGGTAGGCTGAGGGCTAATAAAGGCTTATATGAACATGGCTCGTATAACATCACTCCACATCACACACTCCACACCACACACTCCACATCATACACTCCACATCATACACTTCACGTCATACACTCCACATAACACACTCCACACCACACACTCCACACCACACACTCACCCCCACTCAACCCCACATCACACCACTCACCCATCCCCTCCCCCCACATCCCCCCCCACACACCCACATCATACACCCACATCACACACTCCATACCTCCACACCCCCCCACACACACACACCCACACCACACACCCCATCATACACCCACATCACACACTCCACATAACACACTCCACATCACCCTCCACATCACACCCACACCACACACCCACATCACACACTCCACATCACATACCCACCACACACACCCACATAACACACACCACACCACACACCCACACCATACCACACACCCACATCACACCCACATCACACCCACATCACACACCCACATCATACACACCACACCACACCCACATCACACACCCACACACACCACACATCACACACCCACATCACAACCCACATCATACCCCACACCACACACATCACACACCCACATCACACTCTCCACATCACACACCCACATCACACACTCCACATCATACACACCACATCACACACCCACACAACCCACACACACCCACACCACACCCACATCATACACCCACATCACACACCCACATCACACACCCACACAACACACTCCACATCACACACCCACATCACACATTCCACATCACACACTCCACATCACACACTCCACATCACACACTCCACATCATACACTCCACATAACACACTTGTTTGGTTCCGACTTCATTGTTTTATTACATCACTGTAAAATATTTCCCTAATTAGTGCCTTCACATATCACTCTATAAAAGTGTTCCATTTCAACATTCTTAATACCAAGACAAGGACATTGACAATATTCACGTGTCGTAAACATTTCATATTATGGACGTACAAAGGAGAATAATCTCAGAATATTTCGTTAACTCAACATCTACGAACGTGTTTCTTCAGTACGTAGTGTCAATAATCAAGAAAAGATGCAGTTTCATATATTTAGAAATAATTTAATCCTTAAACAAAAATAAAACATTTCATTCGGTAGTAAAAAAATAAAAAAATATATATTAAATTCGAATATCAAGGAATAGCGCCATCACCTGTTAATTACAATTACATTTGGATCTTAATTTTGCACGACAACACAATCATAATTTAAGTGTCAGTCGGATTTTTGTAGTTATGTCGAAATTACACATAGACTTTACGGTCAGAAGGAATTAACATTTGCATTATTCAAAATTCGCTTCTGTCTTTATCATCATCCATAAGGAAATTTGTACTCGTATGTATATGTGAGTGTGTGTTATCATAAGCAATTGTCTATAATCTAAAGTTGCCTGTCTATAGTTTATCAGATCAAGTCATCCAACAATTTCCAAAACTCATCACAAATCACTTGGTACAGATGCCTTAATGTGAGAAAGTGTCAAGAAAGGTTTCAACTCCCATAATATTTGACACAATTACGGTCCCAATCTTTTGGTCGTCTAGTAAACAATACTTAAGGGGTAAACATCATCTCTAGATAACACTTAAGTTTCTACAATAAACCCGTGGGTGTGAATCAAACCTAACTTAAATTCTGCAAAGTGTATTTCTTAACACACACACACACACACACACACACACACACACACACACACACACACACACACACACACACACACACACACACACACACACACACACACACACACACACACACACACACACACACACACACACACACACACACACACACACACACACACACACACACACACACACACACACACACACACACACACACACACACACACACACACACACACACACACACACACACACACACACACA